AAACAAATTGTTTACAAATATATTTTTATTGATTTCAGAGAGGAAGGGAGAGGGAGAGAGAGAGAAACATCAATGATGAGAATCATGGATCGGCTGCCTCCTGCACGCCCCCTACTGGGGATGGAGCCCTCAACCCGGGCATGTGCCCTTGACCAGAATCCAACCCGGGACCCTTCAGTCCGCAGCCGATGCTCTATCCACTGAGCCACACCAGCTAGGACCATCATCTTGTATTACCACCCCCCCCCCCACCTGTTTCCTTCTGCAGCTTTGCTCAGGGCCCTTGCTCACTGCCTGCTGCTCTTTGCATGGTTCCCGGGACCGGACGCAGGCTGCCGGTTGAATTGGCGAAGGCTGCAGGCCCGAGCTTTCCCTGTCTGCTGGGGCAGCGCCTGGGAGGCCGAGAGCCAGCCCCGAACGCCCCACGGGGGCGCACTCACAGCCACCGTGCGCCTGCCCCCAGGGCTGGGCCAGGCCTGGACCCTCCGGGCAGCTCCCCTGCCCAGGGCAGGTGTGGGGCGTGGCGGGAGGGAGACCACACACACAGGCTGCATCCTGCTCCCGGGCAGCCCCCCCCTCTCCCCACCCTGGTGGCTTCCCCTGAGCCTGCCCAGCAGTGCGGCTGCGGGCGGACTGCACTTGCCCGCCTCCCGGCTCTGCTCCTGGCCGTGGCCGCTGAATGGGAGCGGAATTTTCCCTGCACTGTCACCGCGGAGGTGCTGGCTGCTTCCCAGGGCCTTGTGGTTAGTAGTTAGGAGGCCGCTCGCCCGGGGACAGGCGAGTCATTTTTCCTCCAGCTGAGTCACGCCTCCACCAGCGCCTCTTTGGCCTCTGACTTACGGATCCACTGCCATTTCTGCCCTCCCCTTGGCAACCCAGCCCACGGCCAGTTCCCTGCGGCCTCGCTCTGAGGACACCCGGAGGGACGCCTCGGGGCTGTATTTGGTGGCCCCTGCGTGTCACCTTTACAAAGCTGCTAGTCACGGGCATCTGTGAACTTTTTAAAAAATGTATTTTTATTGATTTCCTAGAGGAAGGTAGAGGGAGAAACATCCATGAGGAGAGAGAATTATTGATCAGCTGCCTCCTGCACGACCCACACTAGGGATCCAGCCCACGACCCGGCCCTGTGCCCTGACCAAGAATCGAACCCTGACCTCCTGGTTCATAGGCTGACGCTCACCTGTTGAATTTCATTTTCCCACGAGGGCGTGCCCCACACCAGCACAGCGGGGTGCTGTGGAAGGCCATGGTCAGAGGGGCGCGTCTGAGAGGCCCCAGAGAGGGAGGGACATGGAGCAGCTGTCATGGGCTGAATCGTGCCCTTCAAAACTCATGTGAAGGTGCCCAGCCCCTCAGAATGCGACCTGACTTGGAGACAGTGGCTTCACAGAGGTCATCCAGTTCAAATGAGGTCATTAGGGGGCCCTCACCCAGTCTGACTGGTGACCTTATAAGAAGAGGGATTTTGGCCCGGCTGGTGTGGCTCAATGGTTGAGCGCTGACCTATGAACCAAGAGGTTAGGGTTTGATTCCCAGTCAGGGCACCTGCCCGGGTTGTGGGCTCCATCCCCAGTGTGGGGCGTGCAGGAGGCAGCCGATCCATGATTCTCTCTCATCATGGATGCTTCTATCTTTCTCTCCCTCTTCCTTCCTCTCTGAAATCAATAAAAAAATACTTAAAAAAAAAATAAAAGAAGAGGGGTTTCTCCACAGGCACAGAGAGGACAGGGTGAAGGGACACGGGGAGAAGCGGGGGAGAGAGCCCGGGGCAGATGGAAGCAGCCTGCCGTCACCATGGCGACCTCAGGCTTCTGAGCTCAGAACCGTGGCAGCCATCTGTTGGTAGAGACGCAGGCCTCTGTCGTGTGTGGGCAGCGCCAGCTCCTACCGCAGTGTTTTCGGGGAAGCGGAGCCTTCCCCCGGCCGGGCGGGCAGAGGTAACCTTGCGCCTGACTGAGGCCGTGGCAGTTTGGGGAGGGGCGGCCAGTAGGTCCCTCTCAGGGGAAGCAGGTAGCTCTCGCCCTAGGGCCTGCTGGGCTGTCGCGGAAGAAGGGCCTCGGGGCCTGGGCTCCCATCGGTGACACGTGGGCCGGTCACCTAACCTTCCCTTCCTCGGTTTGCTTAGTGTGGGCCTGAGGAGGCGGGGTCAGAGCCCTAACAACTGAACACTCTAGAGGTGCCCCGCATGTGCCCTAAGGAAGCTGTTATTATGATTATTATGATTTATTTTTTTAAATCCTCACCTGAGGATGTTTTTCCATTGATTTTTAGGGAGAGTGGAAGAGAGAGGGAAAGAGAGAGAGAAATGTCGATGTGAGAGATATACATCGACTGGTTGCCTCCTGCATGAGCCCCCACCTCGGCCTGGGCTAGGGAGGAGCCTACAACTGAAGTTCGTGCCCTTGACCGGAATCGAACCTGGGACCCTTCGGTCTGCAGGCCGACTATCCACTGAGCCACACCTGCCAGGGCAATTATTATTATTATCATCATCATCTTCCTTGAGAGTATTACAGATGTCCCCTTCTGTTCTTACTGTGACTGGAGCCTCTGGGAAATTCTCCATCCTTGGCCTCTGCTCGGGGAGCACGGAGACCTCCCGGCCCTCTCCCTGCCCCTGGGGTGGGGATGTGAGGACACCAAGTCCATTGTTTCACCCAAGGCCACTCGGAGTTGGCCTGAGTCCCTTTCCAGTTCGCAGGCTCTGTTCCAACATGGGACAGACAGCCGCGAGGCCCAGGCCGGAGGAACAGGCCGGGAGGGAGGGTCCCGCCCGCGTGCTCCCTGGGCCTGCGGAAGGGAGCGCAGCCCAGGTGGAGGGGGTGGGAGGCGGGCCAGGGAGGAAGCAGCAGGAGCAGGAAGTGGCCCTCCCGGCTCTGCTGGCTCCAGGCGGATTTGAATTCTCACATGTCTTTCTGCACGTCTGGTGCCTCTGAGCTCTCCTCGTGTTGGCACTTGTGACTGTGCTTGGTGCTGTGGCCCTTGGCCCTCACCCTACAGCCACCAGGGGCCCCTATCACTGTCAGCACCTCTGGGCAGGGTCCTCCGGGACCCCGCTTGGGTCTGGAGGAGGAGCCGGGCGGGGTGAATGGATCGTGGCCCCTCATACTCTGAAGGTGTCTGTGTTGACAAAGGCGAGACTCCCCATTCTCAGGTGAATGTGAAGTTGGTGAGGTCGCAGGCAAGGTGGGCCCCATGACCTGCCTCCTGGAGTTCATGCCACGTGTAGGCCCCGCCCACCCCGGCCCCCAGGGCTGGCCGGTGCCACCGATAGGACCCGGTGGGAGCGAGGGTGTGTGGCTTCCGGGGCTGGGTCACAAGAGACTCTACTGCTCCCACCTGTCCCTCGGGTGACTGCTCTGTGGGAAGCCAGCTGCCTCGTCCTGGGGTCACCAGGCAGTCCTGAGGAGATGCAGGCGGAACAGCACTGAGGCCTCCCGCCGAGAGCCAGCGTGACTGGGAGCCACCAGGGAAGTGGGGCCTCCTGCCCCCATCGAGCCTTCAGTTGGCAGTAGCCAGGGCCCATGGTTTGACCATGACCTTCTGAGAGACCTCGAGCCAGGAAGACCCAACCAAGTGTTTCCCACGTCCTGACCCACAGAAACCGTAAGATCACACCTGTCTAGGTGTAGCTGCTGAGTTCTGGTGCAACTTGTTACGTAGCATTGGTAGCAAATACAACTGGGAAGAGCCCGGAGTTTTCTGGGAGGGGAGGTCAGCTCCGCAGGCTGTGGCTGCCGTCCCCTTGCCCCTTCTGAAGCGCCACCATTCTCCGACGGCCCCACATTTGTTCATGGTGTGTGTTTTCCCGGCGTGGGGAGGAGAGAGATTTAGGTACATTGCATGCAAGGTTTAGGTACATTGATTGCAAGTTAGGACATATTGATGATGCCTTTGAGTGCACTGATTTTTCCAAAAAGGTATTTTTATTGATTTCAGAGAGGAAGAGAAAGGGAGAGAGAGAGACATAATGATGAGAATCATGGATCGGCTGCCTCTACACGCCCCCTGCTGGGGATCGAGCCCGCAACCCGGGCATGTGCTCTGACTGGGAATCGAACCGTGACCTTCTGGTTCATAGGTCAACACTCAACCACTGAGCCACGCCGGCCGGGCTGAGGGCATTGATTTTAAGTAAGTGCACAACTGCCTGTGTTTCATGAAAATGTATATCCCACGTCCATCTTCATGGCCTGGAGACTTCGGTACAGTAGCCCCCCAATACCAGGGGGGTTTGGCTGTCTGCCCGTCACTTCAAGCCCCTGGCATTTGCACGTGTGGGGTATGGGGTGGTTTTCTATGTGGGCATCCCCTTTCCTCCTGCCCCCGTGGACGTGCCCCAACCTGTAGTGCCCACGTCCTCTGCCCACTGCACACAGCTTGCCACCCCTGGCGCCGTGGCTTTGTCCTGGCCTCCTCCCACTAGATGCCAGTAGCGCCCCGTAGCTGGGACATTGCGCAGTGTCCCTGGGGCAGAACGGCCTCTGGGGGGAGCCCCTGGGGTGTTTCTCTTTGGTCCCTGCTGCCCGGCTCCCGTCTCCTGCTGGAGACACTCGTAGGGCTGGTGGCGGCCGGGTTACCACCCTGGAGAGCCTTTTTAATATTTCTTTTTATTGATTTCAGAGAGGAAGGGAGAGGGAGACAGAGAGAAACATCCATGATGAGAGTCATTGATGGGCTGCCTCCTGCACGCCCCACTCTGGGGATTGAGCCCATAATCCGGGCATGTGCCCTTGACTGGGATCGAACCCGGGACCCTTCAGTCTGCAGGCCAACGCTCTAGCCATTGAGCCACACCGACCAGGGCCAGTGAGCATTTCAGGCAGCTCTTCCCGTGTGACCCTGTGACCGGAGGCTTTCTCTCCGGCACAGCCCCCTCGACCGGAACCTCCGGGACATCACGAGTGTGGGCGGCGCGGGCGTGTGCTCTAAAGAATGAGGACAATATTGGCGCCAGCAGAAGTGGATGCCCCGGGGCAAGAACCACACCTGGAAACTGTGCCTAAGAAGCTGCTGTCACTGACGCGCAGGCCGTCCTTGGAAGCTTCTTAAAATTGCAAAGTATCCCAAACGCGCCAAAAAGTGCATCATACCTAAATGCAGGGCTTCATGGATTGGAGGGGGAACATTGTGTTGCCACCTGACATAGGAAATCATTTGTACGACCGATAGATGGGATCACGCCCCGTGTATTCTGATGCATCTGACTTAGCCAACATGCTGTGCTGAAGGCTCGCCCATTGCCGGCACATTTGGGGCAGCACTGGAGTCAGAGGGCGGGTAGGAGAAGAGAAGCCCCTGAAGGTGCCCAGCCTGTCCGGCCTTCTCCGGAGCGGAGGCGGGTTCCATGTGGGAGCAGAGGGAGAAAGCTACGCTCCCTGCCTGTTTCTGGGCCACTCCAAGGTGCTCCAGGCTGAAGGGCTGCTTGCACTGTGCCCTCTGGTGGCCACGTGGTGCAATGACACCCCCTCTGAGCCCAAGGGCACCAAGGACCGGGCATCAGCAGATGTCAGCCCCTGAGATCAGTGCCTGGTGTGAGCCACGCAGGTGGCAAGAAAGGGGGCTTGTATTTGTTGTTGGAGCTTCTGGCAAGTCTGGAAGAAATGAAGATTTGCGGGTATTAGTTTCAGCTGCCATCTAGCCCAGGGCTGACTCTGAGCTTGATGTTCCCTGGCCCCGTCCTCTCTGTTCCCGGCCCTGTCCTCTCTGCATTGGTGTGAGATGGCAACATGGATCAGCTGCCTCCTGCACGCCCCCCACTGGGGATGGAGCCGGCACCCGGGCATGTGCCCTGCCCGGGAATCGAGCTGGTGACCTTTCAGTGCATGGGCCGAGGCACAACCAACTGAGCCACCCTGGCCAGAGCGTTTTTCACATTTCTTTATTTTTCATTTTTTTTATTTTTTAAAAATATGTTTTTATTGATTTCAGAGAGGAAGGGAGAGGAAGAGAGAAACATCAGGTTTTCACATTTCTTAATGACTGCAACACAACTGAAAGGAGGCAGTTTTGTGACAAATGAAGGTGATATGAAATTCAGATGTCAGTGTCCGTACATCAAGCGCGAGTGACACACAGGCCCAGTCACTGGTTTGTGTGTTGTCTGGCTGCTTCTATGTGACAATGGCAGAGTTGGGTCCTCCCAACGGAAGCCGCATGGCCCACAAATCTTCCAATATTTGTTATCTGGCCCTTTAAGAGAAACAGTTTGCGGTTAGAGGAGCAGAGAGAATGAATAGATGAGAACTACACTCAACAACTTGGCTGGATGCTACAACATAATGTAGAACAAAAGAACTGGGGAGCATAACACCCCATTTCTATAAAGTTCAAAACCAGGCAAACTGAGGTCAGGAGAGTGGCTACGTGTACGGGTGGGGTAGGGCCAGGAAGGAGCCAGAAAGAGCCTGTGGGGGCTGGCCGCCTCCTGGCCTTTGATCTGGGTGCTGGTAATGTGGGCGCATTCCTTTTGCGAAAAAATGCTTGCAATGCTAACCACCAGGTAATCCAGACCATCCCCCAGACCCAGGCCGGCGAGGAGGTCAGAGCAGTTTCTGGAATGTAGCAAAAGCAGGCATGTTAGATTTACGACTTCTGTTTACTAAAACTGCATTTCTACAAAAACCAGGACAGGCTGAGAGATTAGAGATAACCCGGACTGGCCCTGTGCTTGAGCCCCGCTTAATCCCCGTTTCCACGCGTCTGCGTCTGTTTTCCTTTGGTCTGAGGGAGAGAAATTCCCACCGGCAGGCCTGCCTGCGGCCTTGGGCTGTTACACAGATCCCGCTGCCTGCAGCTCGCTTTTTGTAGATATTTAGCGGTCTCTTCCCAATCACACATTTCCGTCTCCACTTCTAAGTGTTAAGGGCAGTAATGGTCACAGATATTAGGGTAGCTCTTTAAAAAAATATTTTTTTATTGGTTTCAGAGAGGAAGGGAGAGGGAGAGATAGAAACATCAATGATGAGAGAGAATCATGGATTGACTGCCTCCTGCACACCCCCGATTGGGGATCGAGCCCACAACCCAGGCATGTTCCCTGACCCGGAATTGAACCTCCTGGTTCATAGGTGGATGCTCAACCACTGAGCAACACCAGCCGGCCTAGGATAGCTTTTGAAGGTGTGAGATTGCCACACGGAGTATCTAAAGTTTTCATCTCACCAACTGTGGACAGGGTATTTTTTATGATTTTCTGCGTTGTGATGACTGGCATAAAGAGCTGGCAGGCCCTGGCTGGTTTGGATCAGTGGCTAGAGCGTCAGCCTGTGGGCTGAATGGTCCCGGGTTAGATTCTGGTCGGGGCACATGCCTGGCTTGCAGGCTCAATCCCCAGTGTGGGGCGTGCAGGAGGCAGCTGATCCATGATTCCTTCTCATTGTATCTCTCTCTCCCTCTCCCTTCCTCTCTGAAACCAATAAAAGTATATTTTTAAAAAAGAGCTGGCAGGGAAGGTGGCTCTGAAATTTCTGGAAAGTCCCACGGGCTTGCCCAGTATCTGGGCAGAGACAAATCGTTTTGCTTAATTAACAAACGTTTGCTGGACCCGGAGGGGGTGACGGGCTGGTACTCAGTTTCGGTCCCTGGGTCATGGCCTTGGGGTCCATCCCAGGACTCGGTGCTGGAGCCCAGGGCGCTGCGGGCCAGCGAGGGTCGGCTGAGGTCGCGCGCACGTCTTGCTAGCGGCCTTCCCGCTCGGAATAGCTGCGTTTATAGTTTATAGCTGCGTTTTGTTCTGAGGAAAGACAACAGCCTCTCAGAAGGCAAATACCTCGAGGCGCTCTCAGGGAAGGACACGCGGCAGCGATCACGTTCGACTGCTTTCGGGTTGCCAAGGAGGACGCCCGGCTCATAGGCGGGTGAGGCAGGCCAGCCGCGAGGGCGGACAGGAACCTTCCAGAGAGGACAGGAAGGCCTTCAAGGTGGAGGAAATGCACACTCGAAGGCATGGGCGTAGGCCCCTGGTCCCTCTCACTGGCCCGGAGGGAGCGCCTTTATGCTCGGCCACGGGGCGACTTGCTCAGAGCCCGTCCTGCATCTGGGTCTGCCAGTGGCATGCTTCCTGTCATCTCCTAGAAACCAGTTTTTCCTGTTAATCCTCACTCCAGGGTACTTTTCCCAGTGACTTTTAGAGAGAGTAGAGGGGGGAGAGAAAGAAGGAGGGAGGGAGGGAGAAAGAGAGAGAGAGAGAGAGAGAGAGGTGAAAGAGAGACATCAATTGGTTGCCTCCCGCACGCACCCCGACCAGGGCCAGGGACCCTGCAACCCAGGTGCGTGCCCTTGACGGGGCTTGAACCCGGGACCCTTCTGTCCATGGGCCGACGCTCTATCCACTGAGCCACACCGGCCGGGGCCACATGAAGTCTTGAACAGAATGTCCACGTCTCAGGCTCTTCCGTCTGCTGGCCGCGCCTTTGTCGGGCTCCCCCGTGGCTCAGCAGCGGCCGCCTGACGCTCCCAGCAGCGAGTTTCTTGCCACGTACACCGCCAGGCTCTCCCCAGCTCATTGGTGCACAAATGAGCAGGGCTCCCCGCTGGCTGATCGCACCCCTGCCCTGCATGAGGGCTCGCTACTTCCGTAGGCAGCGCAGGCTCCCCTGGGCGCATCAGCCGCGGAGTTTGCAGCGTGGCCGGCCCAGCCCTCCAGCTTGTCGCCTGAAGGCGGCCGAGCCGAGCGGCGGGTCAATACATCAGTCGCTGCGGCCACTATTGCTTGTCAGGCGGTTTCCCCGCTTGGCTCCGATTTGATGAAAATGCAGTTTCACCGGGTGGCGGCGGAGCCCTCCGCGCGGACAAATACATGAAGCAGCGGGAGGGGCCGAATAGAATATTTCCATAGCTGCCCTCCCCTCTCACCCAGCACTTCTGTCCGGTCATTCAAATGTCCATGCTCCTCGCCAAAGTGCTTTTCTTTTTCTTTTAATTTAATTTGTTTAAAGTATTACCAATAGTAATTTGACCTTCCCCCGGCCTCCCCTAACCCCCCACCACATGCCCTCACCCCGCCCCCCAGTGTCTTGTGTCCATTGGTTATGCTTATCTGCATGCATACAAGTCCTTCGGTTGATCTCTTACCTCCTTCCCTCCCCCCTCCCCCCCCTCAGACTTCCTGCTGTACTTTTGGTGTTTCTCTGCCTCTGTATCTATCTTCTTGTTCATCAAGTGATAATGTTCTTTATTATCCATAAATGAGTGAGATCATGTGCTTTTCACTCCGTGCCGGACCCAGCCCGTGTCTGTGAGCGTGCAGTGCTGCTGAGGATGGGGGTGCACCCCGCCGCCAGGCCCGGTCTGGTCCCCGGGAGCCCCTGGGCCTGCAGCAGGCCTGCCGGTGCTGTGCAGTGTGGACGCAGCGTCTTGGTTTGTTTGTAGTTGTTTTCCGAGGAGGGGAGGGGGAGAGGGAAGGAGGTAACCTGGACGTGTGCCCTTCCTCAGAGCCCAGCCCACCCAGGACATGTGGACGTGGGCCTGGAAGGAGGGAGCCATCCACTGGGCGACCCCCAGGCAGCACAGCCCCTTCGCCTGTATTTTAAGGAAAATTCAGCTCGAGCACCTGCACCCCGAGCTGCTTGCTCAGGGCAGCGGGCCGCCCGCCTGCGTGGCGCTTGGCTTGTCTTTGTCCGTCCGTTCAGGCTGCCGTAAGGAAATACCCCAGCCTGGCCTGTGTCAAGGTTTGATTCCCGGTCAAGGGCACATGCCCGGGTTGTGGGCTTGATCCCCAGTGGGGGGCATGCAGGAGGCAGCCAGTCCATGATTCTCTCTCATCATTGAGGTTTCTATCTCTCCCTCTCCCTTCCTCTCTGAAACCAATAAAGATATTTTTAAAAGCCCAGACATTTCTTTCCCACGGTCTGAGGTCAAGGTGCCAGCTGGTTGGGCGGGGACCCTCTTCCCAGTCCCAGGCCCCTGGCTGTGTCCTCACCACCTCCCAGAGGCCCTCTTCCTAACTCCCTCACATCGGGGGTTAGGGTTTCAGCCTGTGAATTTTTTGGGGGGGACACAGACATCAAGACCAGAGCATGGCTCGTGGGCCAGGTGGTCCTGTCATCTGTCTCCTTGTCCACCCCCAGGGCAGCCCCTGGTGGGGAGGGCCAGTGCCCTCTGCCCGTTACCACGCTCCCACAGCTAGCTCAGGTGTCGCCAGCACTTCCGCTCTCCCGTCGCTGCGCATCTTGGGTGTCCAGGGTGACGGCCGCGTAGGCTGCCCGCCCAGTGGTCTACTTCAGCTCCCACGGGAACCACTGAGCGGTTTGGTGACAATGACTCGGTTGTGAGTGAATTTCCTGGTTTCCAGAACTGAGAGGAAAACATTTATTTCTCAGAAGCCACCCAGTCCAGGGTACGTTTGTTATAGCAGCTGCTGTTGACTGAGACAGACGGTGTGTGCCTGCTTATAGGTACATCATTGCAGCAGATGCTAGCGGGGTACTCTCCTATATGACAGTAGTGCGAGCGGGTGGTGCCGGGTGTGTGCAGGCCGCCTGCCCACGTTTTAACTGGTCTCTGCCCCCCCAGGTGTGAGTAGCATGGTCACGTGCAGGAGCGATGAGCGGCTCCGGCAACCTCATGGATTTTCTGGATGAGCCATTCCCCGACGTGGGGACGTACGAGGACTTCCACACCATCGACTGGCTGAGGGAGAAGTCGCGGGACACCGACAGGCACAGAAAGGTAGGTGGCGTCATGACCGACATGTTGGAGGGCACTCCCTCACATGGCCAGGCCGTGCTTCCCTCGCACAGAGAGCGAGCTCAGGCCCACGTCCACGTGTCCTGGGTGGGCTGGGCTCTGAGGAAGGGAAGGCTGTGGGAGAGGCAGAGCTGTGGACAGATCACTAGAATACCAGGTGCTCGCTCGGCCCGTGTGGCTCAGTGTTGAGCATCAACCTATGAACCAGGAGGTCACTGTTCGATTCCTGGTCAGGGCACATGCTCAGGTTGTGGGCTCAATCCCCAGTAGGGGGCGTACAAGAGGCAGCCGATCCATGATTCTCTCTCATCATTGATGTTTCTATCCCTCTCCCTTCCTCTCTCTGAAATCAATAAAAATATATTAAGAAAAACACCAGGTGCTTTGGGCGGGAGGCCCAGGGGCCTGGCTCTGTAGAGGGAGGAGGCAGGAGGCAGCCAGGAGCCAGGCAGGGCCATTCGGGGAACAGTAGGGGGTGGGGAGGTGGGAGCCAGTGCCGGACACTTAGAAGAAGCAGGCAGAGGTGAAGGAGGGGAACCAGCCAGTGGTCACAGTGAGAGGAGAGCCTGGTGGTGAGGACGGGCCGCAGCCAGGTCTCCCTCCACGGAGGCGGACCTACTGTGTGTGGGCTGCCATCGGTCCCAGGGACAGCGGCTTCAGAGCAGGCGAGGAGTGACAGCCAGATGCCACCTCATGGCCCTCAATGGCGCTGACTCCACGTCTCCCTTCAGAATGGCTTGCGAATCATCAGAGCTTAAATCGCACTTAGTGAGTTTGTTTAATCAAGTGGATTTTAAAAAATATATTTTTATTGACTTCAGAGAGGAAGGGAGAGGGAGAGAGACAAACATCAACGATGAGAGAGAGTCATGGATCGGCTGCCTCCTGCACGCCCCCTACTGGGGATCGAACCCTCCACCGGGGCATGTGCTCTGATCAGGAATTGAACTGTGAGCTCCTGTTACATAGGTTGATGCTCAACCCCTGAGCCAGGCCGGCCGGGCTAAATGGGTTTTTGAAGCAGAAAGCCCACTCCGTCGTGGGGCAGGGAGCCGGAGGAGCACCGTGAGTGGGAAATCAGCCGCTTAGTTACGTGGTCTCCTGAGGGAGGTTGCAGGGGAGGAAGCGCGGACTGGAGCCGGTGCCGGATTGACCGCGTGTCTTGTTTGCAGATCACCAGCAGAAGCAAGGAGTCCGTGTGGGAGTTCATCAAGGGCCTGCTGGACGCCTGGTCGGGATGGGTGGTCATGCTGCTCATCGGGCTGCTGGCGGGTACGTGGATGGGCACCCTGGGCGGAGGCGGGCGCGGGCCCAGCGCAGCTGCTGGGATGGCGTTCTGAAAACAGAGCGTTTCCCTTGTATCCCATGCGGGGCAATCCATGCTCGAACCATCCGAGAGTGAGATAGACGAGCATACAGGACACGTAAAGGCTGTCACCCGTCAGGCGAGGCCCGAGGGCGGGGCTCCGGTGTGGGCATGGCAGAGCTGTGATTGGGGCGCCGGCCAGCTCAGTGCAGTCCGCAGGCGTGTGGCCACCGGCTTGTATGAAAACACACACTACATTCTGTGCTGCTTGCTTAGGAAGAAGGCAAAAAAGTATGGAGAGGTTTTGGTCTCTAATAATAAAGCACCACGTGACGCTGGCCTTTGCTAATACTGGGAGGCCCTGGGATGAATTGCAAACACCCTGACACTCAAAATAATGTGCGACACGCATCCAGCCGGTGTGGCTCAGTGGTTGAGCGCCGAACCAGGAACCGAGAGATCACGGTTCGATTCCCCGTCAGGGCCTGTGCCTGGGTTGTGGGCTTCATCCCCAGGAGGCAGCCGATCTGATGATGTTCTCTCTCATCAATGTTTCTCTCTCTCTCCCTCTCTCCCCCTTCTCTCTCTCTAAAAGTCAACAAAAACATATTAAACTGGCCTCTAACAAAAGGCTCCATTTCCTTTATAAAAAAGTGAGACACCCTAGGAGCTAGGTGGAGCTACCCCCCTCCCATACACTGTTCAGAGTCCAGGGGTCCTCAAACTTTTTAAACAGGGGGCCAGTTCACTGTCCCTCAGACCATTGGAGGGCCGGACTATAGTTTAAAAAAAACTATGAACAAATTCCTATGCACACTGCACATATCTTATTTTGAAGTAAAAAAACAAAACGGGAACAAATACAATATTTGTATTTGCATGTGGCCCGCGGGCCGTAGTTTGAGGACCCCTGGTTCAGACCCTCAGGGCCTCTGCGCCCGTCATTTTATAGCCCCAGCACCGGTGTCCAGAGCGAGCGGAGGACTCTGTGGAGGAGAAACCCACACTCTCAATGTCAAGGGCGCAGCGCTCCAGAGACGCTGTTTCCTGCCACTCCTCCCTTTCAGGAGGCTGTGCGGGGTCATGTCTGGGATAAAGAGCCTGGGCGAGCTGAGGAGACCCCCTCAATACACCCCCTGCCCATCATAGCGTAGAGCTGTGGGTATAGCACTGACCGGACAGGGACAGTACTGTGGGCGGGATACAGCAGAGGCTGTGAGAAAGACAGAACACTGCGGGGCGCAGGTGGAGGTTTGGGATTCCTGAGGATTTCAGTTGGATTTGCTCCCTAGACAACTGTGGGAGGGGCTCCACTGGCTCGGCCTGTCACAAAGAACCAAGGGGAGTGCTCAGGGGGGGACTCCTTTCCTTGTAGTCACAGCAGCTGTTCACCCATTTCTCCCAGTCGGTCCCTGTCTCCCACTGGCCCAGTGAACTTGAGCTTGTGGATATAGGGTGCATCGCCACCCATTTGTTTGACCGCTTCTATGAAGACCTTTGACGGTAGACGGGGAGGGAGCTGGCTGTGAATTTTGATGTCTTTGTTTAGAACAGATTTTTAAAACCATTCACAGTGTCATTACCCTCGGCTCCTAGGAAGGAGAAATGAATAGAGAAAGAAATGCAGAAGAGACGTTCTGGCATCTTGGAGTATACCGCGCAGGTTAGATGTATTGATTAATTTGAGAGCCTGATCAGGCTGTGATCGGGCTGTCTTTAACCCGATATTGATGAGTTGGCTTCACTATCAATCCGATTTCCGCCAGTTCTTTTAAGGAGAATCACTTGGGAATTAAAAAAAAAAATACTGCTGCTTGGGCTTCAATCAGATAGTGTATTTGGAGATGATGCCCTAGCGTTGAGCAAAGACCCCCTCCACTTCCTCCTGCCCCTCCTGTGATACTAACGTGCAGTCAGGGTGAGAGCCACAGGAGCAGGGGAGCCCCTGGTCATGTCAACAAGTGAATAGAGGAGGAAGGTAAGAATGAGCTGATACCGCCAGCGCCAAAGTGCTCTTTTGATCTGGATGTACCTTGGAAGGAAAGCCAGGAGACTGTGTCCCATTCACCTCCCTGTTTTCCAGCTGGAGGAGAGGACTCAGGTGTCCCACTGCCTGGCCTGTCATCTCCTTAGTGGCATCCTGGACATTACATTCTGACTCCTGAGATGCAGAGGTCCAGGGTCTCCTCTGCCGTGCAGTTATAAGAATTCATCAGTAGATGTCACTGTTGTATCACAAATGGAAATATCAAGAAAACATTAACGCTGCATTTACTATGAATAACCACCAGATGTCGCTGTTGCTCCACGGAACGAAACATTCACCAAACATTTATTACGAATCACCACTGGGTGTCACTGTTGCTCCACGGAACAAAACATTCACAAAACATTTATGGGGAATCGCCACTGGGTGTCACAGATACTCCATTCATAGAAGGAAGCTGAAACTGCCAGCACTGTGAGAAGCAGTCAGCCAGGAAGACTGGGTGTGGGATAATGTGATTATGAATAAGTGAATGGTGGCGGGATTGGGGTGATCATTGGGTCTCACCCCTGGCTATCTGTAGGACCCCTCCCTCACTTTCCATTTATTTTATTTTTTTACACTCACCTTCTTTAGGTCTTTGTTCAAATGTCATCTTTCGCTTGAGGTGTTCTCTGACCACCTTTTCTAAAAGTCCACTTCTCCCTCTCTGAGCTGCATCATGCCCACTCGCTGTATGTATGTGTGTGTGTATATGTACACATGTAACAGCCTTATTGTGGTATAATTTACATACCATACAATCTACCCAGTTAAAGTATATAATCCGGTGGTTTTTAGTGTCCTCACAGAGTTGTGCAGCCATCGCCACAATCAATTTTAGAACATTTTCATCGGCACCCAGAGACCCTCCATGTCCTTTAGCTGTCAAGCTCCAGGGCCTGCAGCCTCCTCCCGGCCCGTCTCTCTGCCCGCTCTGGATATTACATGGAAATGGAATCATACAACATGTAGGGTGCTGTGATCACCTTTTACTCAGCAGGAGGTGTCCAGGGTTTGGAATTGCTTGGAAGGATAGTAACTGTTTAACCTGGTGAGCAACTTCAGACTATTTTCCAAAGCATTTACACTGCTGGGACCTGCTCTACAGATACAATCGGGATAACATATGTATTATATAGGTATCATGTCTATCACCTCATGGTATCAGGATGTGACAGGCATGCTGATGGGTAAATGCCCGGGAAGCATGCTGAGCCCAAACTTAGGAAATCAGGAAAGCCTTCCTGCAGGAGGTGACGGAAGTGCCGGGATCTGGAAGATAAAGAGGAGATTGCCGGGTGGGGGAGGCAGTGCTTCCTGAGAGGGTGCACCTTGTTTCTGGAACCTGGGAGAGCTGGGCTCAGCAAGCTGCTGGGCCCCGGCTCGAGCTGGGTGAAGACGTGCGGGCCTCTGCCCGGCATGAGGACCCAGACCATGGCCTGTGTGTCCTTGGGCTGGGCTTGCCTTCCCGCGTCCCCAGTGCTCAGGGGACTGCCTCTGCGTGTGGCCCCCAGGGCGCTGGCCCCGTGCTCTGTGGCCCCACTTTGTCCCCAGGGCGCTTCCTCTAAGAGCCTCTCGCTGTCTCTTCCAGGCACCTTGGCCGGGGTCATCGACCTGGCCGTGGACTGGATGACCGACCTGAAGGAGGGCATCTGCCTGTCCGCCTTCTGGTACAGCCACGAGCAGTGCTGCTGGACCTCCTCCGAGACCACGTTTGAGGACAGGGACAAGTGCCCGCTGTGGCAGAAGTGGTCGGAGCTGCTGGTCAATCGCTCCGAGGTGGGTTTGCGGGCCGGGTCCTGCCGGGGGTGCCCGCCACTCAGCGGGGCTGGGGGCCAGCGCTGGGCGTGGTGGGCCTGTCCATGGTGTCAGCTTTGAGTGTCTGCTAATAATCCGGGCTTCGCACCAGCACGACTTGGTTGTTCTATCTCTAGTTTCAAACGTCAGTGGAAAAACCCTCCCCCACGGTTTCATGTGCACAAGAAATACATTTTTATTGGTTTTGAGGGAGAGAGGGAGAGAGGGAGAGAGAGAGAGAGAGAGAGAGAGAGAGAGAGAGAGAGAAACATTGATGTATGAGAGAAACATCCATTGGCTGCCTCCTGCACGCCCTGCACTGGGGATCGAGCCTGCAACCCGGGCATGTGTCCTGATGGGGAATCAAACCGTGACCTCCTGGTGCCTGGGTTAACGTTCAATCAATTGACCCACACCCGCCAGGCAACATGTATATATTTTTAGAAATCTTGTGCTTGGCTTTGTTTTACTTACCGAGAGTAGTTTGCTGAAGAAATAACACTGATTTTGATACCCCCTAATGAAGGGACAAGATGTTATCTCTAAAAAACACACAAGTGGCCTTGGTACTCCAGCCTTTTTATGGCTTAATAACATTCCGGTGTATGGGCAGACCACTGTTTATTTAGCCCTCACCCGCTGATGAACAGGGCTCGCTTCCACTCTCGCTCTATTGTGGATGCATTTGTTTTGGACATTTGTGGACACGTTTTTGTGTGGATAAGTTTCCATTCCTCTTGGGTTCATACCTAAGAGATCGCTGGGTCATATGGCAAGTCCGTGTTTGGCCATTTGAGGAACTGCCAGACTGTTTTCCAAAGAGATCGCACCATGTCACAGCTCCGCCAGCAGCGTAGGAGGGTTCGGGTTTGTCCACATCCTCACCAACACTTGTTATGACCTGTTTTCGATCCTAGCCATCCTAGCAGGCATGAGGGGAATCCCACTGTGGCGCAAGTTACCATCTTCCAATGCGTTTTAAGATCACGTCGCGTAGGAGGTTTCTGTGTATTCTATGCTGGGAACATCCAGGCAGGGGGTGGGGTGGTGAACACAGACCGGCGCTTGCCCTCATGGCCCTAGAGGTTCAGATCTGGGTAAAAATCTTAGTTTGGGCCCTGGCTGGCTTGGCTCAGTGGATAGAGCATTGGCCTGTGGACTGAAGGGTCCCAGGATCGATTCTGGTCCAGGGCACAGTCCCGGTTGCAGGCTCGATCCCTAGTAGGGGGCATGCAGGAGGCAGCCAATCCATGATTCTGTCTCATCATTGATGTTTCTCTCTCTCTCTCTCCCTCTCCCTTCCTCTCTGAAATCAATAAAATACATTAAAAAAAACCCACACAAAAAACCCCTCTTAAGTCAAAGGTCCCCTTAGATACATGTGTTTTGTTTTGTTTTTTAAAATATATTTTTATTGATTTCAGAGAGGAAGGGAGAGGGAGAGAGAGAGAAACATCAATGTTGAGAGAGAATCATTGATTGGCTGCCTCCTGCACACCCCACACTGGGGATTGAGCCCCCAACTGGGCATGTGCCCTGACCGGGAATCAAACCGGTGACCTTTTGGTGCATGGGACGATGCTCAACCACTGAGCCACACCGGCCGGGTTCATTCCCAGTTTCCATGGTCACTGAGCTTTCACCGGTCGCAGGTCTGTGGAAACTGCTCGTGGAGCAGCCGGCAGTGTCTGTGGGTGTCGTGTAGCAGTAGCAGCAGCCGATCCAAACAGCGCTGCCTTTTCGCTGACACGGGACCCGCTGCTGCTGTCACAGCCGAGGGTGGGACCCTCGGGTCTGCCTGGCTCACCGGTTCCTTCCTGTTTTGTGTCTTGTTCAGGGTGCCAGCGCCTACATCCTGAACTACCTGCTGTATGTCCTGTGGGCCTTGCTCTTTGCGTTCTTGGCCGTCTCCCTGGTGCGCGTGTTTGCGCCCTACGCCTGTGGCTCAGGTATCCCCGAGGTGAGTAGGGGCCGGATTTCCTCTGTGCCGATCAAGGGAACAGCAAACACTTCCGGAGCACTTGGCCAAGCACAGTTCCAAGCGTTTGACATGTATTAACTCATTTAGTCCCCACAACCGTCCTGTGAGGTAGTCCTGTTACTCTTCATTTAACACATGAAGAACTGAAGCACAGAGAGGTTCAGTAACTTGTCCTAGGCCAGTGGTCGGCAAACTGTGGCTTGGCAAACTGCGGCTCGCGAGCAAATGCCGGTCTTTGGCCCCTTAATTTGT